TCGATCAGTAGTCAGAACTGTGTCAAATAATATTAAAAAACAATAAATTAGATATTTTAATTTACTTCAAATGTAAAATTTATAAAAATATAACACAACTTATAAAAATTTATAAAAATATTCTCATTATGTGTCTCTAGACATTATTCATACATTTATTTTTGCATTAAAAAATAAAGAGATTATATTAACAAATTAAATACTTAAACAAATCATACTTTGGACAATGAATTTCACTCATTGTCAGATAACTATAATTATGAGAATTATAACGGAGCTTATAGAAAAGATAAGACTGCAGCCCTGCAAGAATAACGTTATCTGACGCAGAAATCTTCGAAGGGCCCACGTAGACTGGGGTCTACTCTTGTCTCTTTCTTTTTGTACGTTCTTTTCGCTTTCTCCTGCTGCTGCTGCTCTGACTCACCCTTGCACGTGTTCAATTTCAGCCCCTTTGAAAGCTCGTTCCTTATCCCACTGGTCAGGATCCTAGAGAATCCTCGCCGCCGGACCCAAATGAGGTCCTTTCTCGGCCAACCGCTCCGCCCACAGGACCCTTCGCGCACGAGAAAAGGATCGGGCCCCGACCAAAGAGACCCATCAAACTGCTCCTCCACGTGTACGTAAAAAAGATTCGGAAGGCACAAAGACGAAGGGGACGCCGTCGGCGATAGCCGTCGTCTCATCTTCGCGAAAAGTCATTGTCGCCTCTGACATACGAACGGCATTTTCGAATAATTGTTATCGTACATTGGCGATTCGGGGCGAGTCCAGACGGCGCGGCGCGGTGACCCAGAAGAACGTCATCGTGTCGATGAATGAATCGGGCGTCGAACGTTTTGTGGGGCGCCGATACTTAATCGACGCTGATTCGTGAGAAATCGCGCGAGACGATCGAAATTAAGCGCCGTCTTGCATCATGCGCAGATTTTCGTATATCCAGAAAAACTGTAAAGAATATTTTAGAAATAAATCGGAATGTATCTCTACTGTCAATTTTTATCGTATTGGATTAATAAATTAAAATTGTTAAAATTTCCTCCGTCTTTCATGTTTTAGAAGAAAATAATTTTAAATATAACATGAAATATTGTATAATTTCTAGATATCTTTAATTATGAAATCAATAGAATTTGGAGAAAAAAAGAGAGAAAGAGAAATATTATGCTTTTAATAGTGATGTACATTAATAGTGAGGATTGTGTTATCTAAATATTACTGGTTGTTACGAAATTTTATACGTATATTTATACAATATGCGCGTATTTGCTAAGCAACCCTCTTTACACAAAGTATTCTGTTTTTCATATCCTTTTTCACATGCATTTGATGCAGGATCTATCCATTACAATTTTCTATTTCTATGCCTTGCAAATACTATATGGATTTACTTACGAGCTTTGCGCATCTGCAATATCGTTATATCAGCGCTCGACTTCGCAAAAATAAAACGCACTCAATGAAACCGAATGTTACTCACGTCCGAACGCAACGCAGCGTCCAAAAAAAAGAATCGTAAAACGCGAAACGGAAAAGGATCCACGAGCATCTCTTCTCCCGAAGAAAGACGAATCGAATAGACAGGATACCACGATGACACGGTCCACGCTAATCCAGTGATAGAAATCCTTAAGCTGCTACCGGTCATCCGGCGGCAGTGTAGGAGGGCGGCATAGAAAGGGAAGAAGGGAAATGTATAATTTATAATGATAATCCTTTAAGAATGGATCCGTGCCCCGGAGGCAGATTCACGGTCCTGCGATCTTCAATGCGACCTCTCTCCTTCCGACACTCTTCTTTCAGAACTCTCCCTCCGCTCCGAAAATTTTTTTTCTCCTTCACCCCCGGTCGGGTGAATCACACAAATCGATCGAGCATGCGGCAGTTTCGTCAGGATCTTGTGTTTACATAGGTGCAGGACTTGCGAGGAACAGCTGTTTATTTAGGGACATAATGGTGACTCGTAAATGGAAACAGATCTTTCCGAGCTCGACGCGCAAGACTTTGGAGAATCTTGGATCCTAAGATTCGATATATGGAAGGAAGGAATATCACCGTGCAGTCCTCCAAAAAGTTTGTCGAGACTCTCCAACTTGGTGTACCGAATAATGTTTGATATTGATATTAGGATTTTCTCGTATTGATCTTAAAGCCTATTAAGTAGTTCATCATAAATGCGTTGATGTCTTTGTTGAAATTAACGTTTCGAAAAAGTTAAATTCTCTCAAGTTCTCAGCGAAATGTGATACGCATAATTTTAATATTGCATAAGATTAATATTTTTTGCGATTAAAAAATTGAAGTAATCTTCAGATTAGTATATATAAAAACTATATATATATATATATATAAGCAGCATACACGTACCATAACAATGTATAATAAAAAATGTGTAACAAAATATAATGCGAAGAAAATTCAATCTTTAGAAGCAAAGTTTTTTTTTTTTGTAAGTCTAAAGCACATGTTAAATAAGATTTGCACCGACGGTTCAGCATTGTACGAAAACAACGAGTGAAAATTTCGAGGATGTCCCGAAGCAAAATTTATGCGTCGCGGATACGGTTGTCCGCAACCACACGAATCCTTCCCTTTTCTATGGCGTATCTAAGATGACGAAATTCGCCATTGAAAAATACGTGTCGGAGCATCACGCGAGAGAGTTAAGATGCGTCCTTTTAAAGGAAGACTTTCTCACAACACAACCCCCCGAGAATGCACTCACCCACGTTAGATTCGCTTTTCAAGCGTCGCGGCAGGTCCTCGCATCCGGCAGGAGCGTCCTACTTTTACGCAAGACTTTAAAACGAGGGCCAAATCTATGTGGAAGATCGAGCAAGTTCGAACACGTCTCGTTTGCCGCTGCCACGTGAAGAAATTCGATCAAAGCGAGTGCCCTGAATGCTCCGTGCAGGTTTGAACCTGCACCGACGGATGCAAGGATCTGCTGCAAGCATTTCGAGTTTATGTAACGCGTTACACAAAAAGAAATCTTTTCTTCTTGAAGCAGAAATCATTCCGCCTTTGAGTAGAATGGCGAAACGGATCTGTTCAAACTCGCGAAGGATCTGCTTCAAAAAAAGTCTTTTCTTCGAGTTCTCATTCGAACAAAACTGGTTTCATATTTTCTAAAATTGCATCATTCTCTCGGGATTCCTAAAAGATTATTTTTCGACGTTTTATTCACGTAATTGTCTTTAAAATGTAAATTGTATATTCAAAAAGCAGATCGAAAGCGATTGAAAGCAATCCACATAGATAGGTAATTTGACATAAGTATACGATCTCATATTTTTTTAAACATAAATATGTATATATGCTCTTAGAAATATTGTAGTCTTCTGAATTTTTCCCAGAAGATCCTAAAATTATTTAAGTTTATTGATAGAAATAACGGCGGCAGTTCGATATAAGTATATGATATGTCCCAGAATTTTTAAAAATATTTTCAAAATATCGTAGAGTTTACTTTTGAATTCAAATAGTCAAGCTAACGAAATAGTCAACAAGACTTGAGAGAAAAAAATCTCAAATTACACCAATGAAAAATATTGCACATTGCATGCACTACGTCGGGTAAATAGTTCACCACAAATGATTTCGTCCTACCTCGCACCGTTAATCAGACATGTTCTGTTAAACCCTCCGATCCGTTAACCCAAAGAGCCAACCCTTTTACCTGCGAAGCCGCCGAAAGGAGTAGCGGAAACCCGCGCGAACAATACGGGAAAGGGTTTCCCTCCCGACGGGATACACCTGTGAAAGGGTTGAGTCGCCGGATAAAAGATCTCCGAGTCAAAGTTCAGGATGTTAGCGACAAGTGCAATAACTAAGACACTTACAATTAGTTGCTCGCGGACTGATTTTTCTGTTTTTCGGCGAAAATCTACGATACTGATGGTAATTTCAATCGCGCACCTGGTGTGCTTTGTGAAAACGGAGTAGAAAAAGGGCTGCGCAAACGGCAGCTGCGGAAACCGCGTTGCATATGCGCATCACCGTGCAGTCGGTGGTGCGCGCGACAGGTTTTCCCGGTGAGAAACGAGACGACGACGACGACTACGGCGGCGGCTATGACGACGACGAATCAACCCTCGAATCGTCTTGAATTCTCTTTCAATACGTTCGATTCGTTCTCGGCGCAAGATCGAAATGTCGCTTTTATGATTGCGTGCTGCGCGCACATGTGCCTCGATCGCGCGAGGGTGAGGGCGCCCTTTGTGCGTGCATTTGACCCTTTTTACCTGGATCACTCTCATCTCTCGGTTCTCGTTGTGACGCGAGAAGGGGACGAAGGGGAAAAATGACGAACAAACACCGGCCGGTGCTTACCCCGTACGGTGGCCCATTCAACGGTGTAAGATATGCATCTACGATCCCCAATGGACCCCGAAAATAACGAAATACAAACGGAGATTTTCGTGATTTTGAATAATATTGCATTCACACTCCCGTGGCCACCCTTAACCCCACCCGGTACCGCTTCAACGTTTCAATGGGATCGAAAGGGTCCTCTCGCGCGTCGCGCGGCCTTATGCGTCCAGCCCTTTTTATTCTGTCCACGGAAATTCCATGGACCGGTCCGAGGGGACAAAGGATTCCGCGTGGTTCGCTGACGGATGGACCAGCGAGTCGAGACGCATAAAGAATTTATCCGCGAAGGATGGATCGCTCGATCGTAAGAAAGCAGCGAAATACTGAACGACATCTTCAAATCTGTCGCGCAAATTTCAATTTTTACTTCGAAAAATAGACAATTCGCGAATTATCGGCTCTCATAAATTTCGCACATCTCGTGTCTCGAAATTTTTATAGTCACTAAACATAGAAGCGTTTTTCAGTTCTGCGATTAAAAACGCATTAATAGAAAGTACCACAACGAACGCATAAAATATAGCTAATAAAATAGATATGTACGGTTTGCTTGGAGTAATATTAAATTAAAAACAGCGCAACATGCTTAGCGCAAGGCTCGTATAAGAATATGTATACGGACTCACCAATACTGGTCGACACCCGAGCTGGTCGATCCGCTTCAGTCGTCCCGCGTTGCTGCTTCACCTGTGGCAGAAATTAGAGAAACGTTAATTCACAAAATAACAGTGCGTTTTATTGCATGGGTGATAAAACGCGCCCCGGTCGGCCGGCGCGGTCGCCGGATACAAAACGAAGGAAAATGCGGCAAATTATAATCGCGCGCGCACTTCAACGCGATCATTAAACGTTTCGTCGAAGACACGTCGAGCTTTACGAATTATATTGACGAGCGGTGAAAAAAAAGCTCGTTAGAAACCGCCGGGCGTCCCTCGGTAATTCGAGATGCAATTCGGACCGATTACACATGGTGTGCCGCCTTAATAACTGAAATTTGTATCGACCCGCGACCGACACCCCCTAAAAAATATTTAATAAGCACCGAAAAAAGTGTAATAATCTGGGGTTACTATAAATTCACCCTGTTCGCCGCCAAGTGCCAAACAGCACCCGCTAGGCTGATGCGATCATTTGAAGTAACGAGTGCAATAAAATAATAAATAAGCTTTATACGACTTCCATACATCCCTAATTAGTTACAGTCCTTTTCAAAAATGTTACACTTTTTTTCTTTATTTCTCTTTCTCTCTCCAAAGATTTATGTATATTTTTTTTAGTTACCGTATTCGTTAAGTAATAAATACAAAAATTTTACTTATATATTTAACACAATATTGTTATATGATTAAAATATTATATTACGTTTAAGTTTTATATTTAAGTGTCACGTTTAAAATTAGAAATAATAAAAATCCGTGACAAGTTATTCGAATCATTTGTACGGATTATTTTCAAGTATAAAAAGGAGTATTTTTACGAACTCCTTGCACGTGTTAAATTCAGTATACGCGAGACGAGAAATAAACTTCCAATCAAGATCTCTATCTAAAAATGGTATCTACTTGCCAAAAACGATTACCAGTCTCGTAGAGGCGAGAAATAAAAAAATGAATACGGTAGTCGTTGGGCTATTTTTCGCTCTGGGTACAAACGAGATATTCTCTTTTTTTTACCATCTCCTCTTTTGTACCCTTGTCTGTCGTTCTCTATTCTTTTCTTATGTTAATTTTTTTCTATAGATTAACAAATAAAGATAATATTGGCTGATTAAACAAACATCTAATGAGAAGATAACAATCCACATGAGCAAAAACAAAATAAAAGATTTGCAATTATTTGCGATAGCTAACAAAACCATGTAGCCTCTAATCATATTGTATTGTAATACATATAACGTTAAATATGATCATCCGACTGACGATGAATTCTAAAGGCCATACTTAGCAAACTAGAAATGGAATACACAGAATCAAACTAGATAAAACAGAACGTAAATGTTACGCGATAATTATCGTGGCATATAGCATCGTGCAATTTGCATCGGACGGATTAACTTGTGGAATGCGCGTATAAGAGAATCAATGGCCTTCTCTCTTTTTTTCGCGCGCGCTCACGCGTAATGGTACCGATTTTAAGATCGAGATAACTCGCTGCATCAACCACGGATGCAGTTACCTTCGCCTGGAGAAATGAAGCGAGACGCGACTATCTTGGCACCGCACCGGCACGGCAGCTCGTTCGGATTTCGTCGTTCCACTTACAAACGATGCTATCGGGCATTAAAATCCGTGGAATGTTCTCGGTAAGATATTTTATTACCACTCTTAGGGTGTTTCATCGGTGAAATCATATCGCCTTTCAATTAGACGCACCATCGGTAAGGGTAGATTAGGATCAAGTTTTCGGCTGGCCTTTAAATCTCGATGGCACAAAGCGTTTCCTAGTTTTTTTATTACCCTCCAAAACGACATTAGATTCAAACCAATTTCAGTTCAAATCATATCAAATTACTTGCCAAAATATAAAAAGATTATAAAGTTTTATATACACACAGTAATATAATTATATGTAACCATGCCTCTAAATTAAATTTATATGTATCATATTGTATAATATAAAAAATAATTAAATTAAAAATTTGTCAAAATATTTTATTCTAAAAATTTGAAGTTGATTGAAAAATTACGTAATTGACGTTATAAAATTTCCATCAAGAAAAGATTCTCTTTAAATTTGCCACAGAATATTTCATTGAAAAAACATCCAATGGTATCAGTTTTGCGCATTACGAAATACGAATATCTCGATATTGCACATTCTTCGTTTCGCCCCTGCAATCATCTCGCCAATTTATCCACAACCGACTCAATAAGCTGCAAAGGAAACCATTTATTAAAGTCCGCGAGAGAGCGAGCGAGCGAGCGAACGATCGCGGCCGAGTAACGTACGTCAGAAATTTTCAACAGAAACCAACCGGATTCACGGTGGGCGCTGCGCACAGGTCGAGTTATCTCGATCTCGAAATCGGCACGATTACACGCGAGTGCGCGAGGAGGAAGCAGAAAAAGAAGCAGAGGAAGGCGGAAAGCGGAGAAAGGGAGCGAGAGCGAGAGGAGCGCGGCGAGACGAGGATGCACTTCTGCTTGCACCTGCCGGTGACGTCAGAAGGGACTTCTTGTTTGGGCCTGCTCAGCCCCGGGGGTCACTACTACTGTTTTAAGTTGGCCTGCTCGTTTCTTCGCCTTCCCTTTTCCCTTCAACCTCACTCGGCCCTCCTTTTTCGCTTCTACCTGCTGCATCGTTGAACATGCGTGTACAAGTCAGGCTCGTTCATACGCGAGCGCAAAGAATGCCGCGGTCATTACTCATATATTAATTATATGCTAATGAAAATGTAGAATCGCGTTCGAGAACGCGACTTGATGAGCACTTCCATGGTCACGATCTCTAAGTACATCCGAGAATAAATGCAATTTTTTGCCGAATAATTATCTTACGTGATTACATCATATATGTTCGGAGTAGAGATTATGAAATTCGTTTATAGCATTGTTAATTTTTTCTCTTACATAAAAAAAACAATATATATATATATATATATATATATATATATATATATATATATATA